ATACATATCTTCATTGCTAGCACATTGTCTGACATCGATTTGAAGTTGAATAAATATAAAATGGACAACTAATTTTTGACAAAACCCCTGAGGCAACCCAGTAGAAAAATAATAGTCTTTCAACAACTATTTCTGGAATAATTATCTATTTGCAACAAATATAAACTTGAATCCATGCTTCAAATCATGTACAAAAGTTAATTCAAAGTAAATCATAAAGGCTGTGGATGTGGCTCCGTGAGAGAATAATCACCTAGCATGTGCAAGGCACTAGGTTTGATCCTCAGCACCACATAAAAATAAATAAATAAAATAAAGGTATTCTATCCAACTACAACTTAAAAAAATATTTTTTTTAAAAAAGTAAATCATAAACCTATGTACAGTCTAAAACACAGAAAGAAGTCTTTGTAATTTTAGTAAGCAAATATTTCTTAGAGATAAACTAAGAACATGGTCCATAAAATAATAAATTGGACCTCATTAAAATTTAAAATTGGGCTGGGGATAAAGATCAGTTGGTAGAGCGCTTGTCTTACATGCACAAGGCGCTGGGTTCAATCCCTAACACCATACACACACACACACACACAAAAAAAAAAAAAAAAAATTTAAACTTCTCTTCAAAACACACTGTTAAGAGAACGAAAAGACAAACTACATACTGGGAGACAATATTTACAAAGCATTTATCTGACAAAGGCCTTGTATCCAGGATATATTTTTTAAAACTTTCAAAATTTAAGAAAATAAGCAATCCATTTTTTGTAAAAAATGAAATGAAGATCTGATTAGACTCTAAAAGAAATTCAGATGGCATATAAACCCATGAAAAGATGCTGTTATGGTTTGGGTATGAGGTGTTCCACAAAACTCCTATTAATGCAGGAATACTCTAAAGTGAAATGACTGGGTTGTGAAAGCTATAACCTAATCATTTCACACTCATTCGAAAGGTCTGGGTGGTAACTATAGGCATGTAGTGCAGTAGCTGGAGGAGATGGGTCATTGCGGGTATTCCCTAGAAGGGTTTTTCTTCCTGTGGTCCTTCCTCTCCCTTTGCTTCCTGACCACACCATAAGTTGAGCAGCTTTTCTCTGCTGGACCTTTCTCCCATGATGTGCTGCTTCACCTTGGTTCCAGATCAAAGGAGTCAGCCATCCATGGACCTCTGAAGCCATGAGCCCCCTCTAAGTTACTCCACTAAGTTGCTCTTTTGGTCACAGAAATGCAAAAGCTAACTAAAACAGAAACTGGTTCCAAGAAGTGGGGTTGTTGCCATGACTAACCTGACCATGTGATTCAGAAGCCTTCGGAACTGTTTGGAGGGAGAAATTTTGAAAAGTTTGTACATACAGGCTGGAAAAAGCTTTATAATGTAAGCTGAGCTTAAAGGGTGATTAAGAAGGGTGATTAAAGGGGGAGTTCAGAAGACCAGAATGGTGACAGAAATGCAGATTTTACTTATGAGGTTTCAGAGGAAATGAGGACACTATTGGAAATTAGAGTAGAGGCCACTTATATTATATTCTGGCAAAGAACTTGGCTACATTTTGCCCATATCCTGAGACTTTGTGTGAGGCTGAATTTAAAGGTGATGTATTAATTAACCTGGCAGAAGAAATTTCAGGACAACAAATTTCAATCAGTAGCATGGATACTGCTGGCAGATTTTAGCCAGATTTACTGTGAGAATAAGGAGCAGGAAAGAGATCTAAAGAAGTTCTAACTTTTACAGTTTGACCAGAAAAGTGCTTGTAAAACTGGGGTCAAAAAAGTTGTTCTTTTTGAAGAGATTGCAGCCCCTAAAGAGATGCTATGTACTTTGCATAGAAATAATAGAAATGATGGTTAGGGGCATCTCAGGAATTTGCAAAATCATACCAACTATAGGCTTCAGGGCACAGAAGGGGAAAATTCACTTGAAAAGAGATTCTGGGGGGTGCCATGCTCACTCAGAGGGGCATAGAAAGTTGTTTCACCATGCTTAACTGTGCAGGCACTCAGAGACCACTGCAGCCAATATTCCAAGGGGCCCAGGTATTACATGAGCAGGCAGGAGACCTTGGCATCATCTACATGGTGATTATTCTGTGGGAATGTAGGATGCTGGAGTTTGGGGATCATGGAGGCTTCCACTGAGATTTGAAGGGAAGGCCATGCAAAGTATGGCAGAGTTGGAGTCCCTGCAGGCTTCCTGATGGAAATATAAAGACATACAACCACTCTGGAAAATATAAAAATTTCTTAGAAAATTAAAAGCACACCTTCTACAGGAACCAGCCATTCCACTTTTAGTTATCAAAAAAAGAAAAGAAATATGTACATATATATTTCCTTGCACACAAATGTTCACAGTAGCTCCATAAGTTAATAGCTTGAAACTAAACACAGGCTAAACGTTCACCAGCTGATTAAGTGGATAAATTGTAGTACATCCACACAATGGAATACACTTTGTAATAATAAAAGAATGAACTACTGGGCTAGGGTTGTGGCCTGGTAGTAGAGCGCTCGCCTAGCACATGCATGGGCCCTGGGTTTGATCCTCAGCACCACATGAAAATAAATAAAATAAAGGTATTGTGTCCAACTACAACAAAAAAATAAATATTTTTTTAAAAAAGAATGAACTATTGTACACAGAAAATGAGTGAAAAAAAACAGACCAAAAAAGGATACATTTGTGATTTCATTTATATAAAACTTTAGAAAATGCAGATGAATCCATACTAACAGAAAGTAGACCTGTTGTTGCTTAGGTGTGTAAGGTAGGGAGGAAGTTATAAAGGGGCAGGAGAGAAACTTGAAAGTGATGGACATATTCACTTAATCAAAGCAATGGTTTCAGTGTGGAGGGTGTATGTCAAAACTTTGCAAATTGTATACTTTAAATGTGCTCCATGTTTATTGTATATCAATTATCTCTCATTAATATTATTTTAAAAATCTGCAGTTAGCTGTCAGATTTTAAGAAGATTGAGCCTAGCACGGTAGCACACACCTGTAATCCCAGGGGCTCAGGAGGCTGAAGCAGGAAGATTTCAAGTCCAAGGCCAGCCTCAGCAACATCGAGGCACTAAGCAACTCAGTGAGACCCTGTCTCTAAATAAAATACAAAATAGGGCTAGGGAGGTGGCTAAGTGGTCAAGTGCCCCTAAGTTCAGTCCCTAATACCCATTCCCCCCCCAAAAAAAAAGATTTTAAGGAGACTGGAAGGGGGAAAGAATGGAAATCTCAGTTAAAGGCCTCAGTGAAGTTTGTGAATCACACAAGCATGCAAAGAATCCACACTTCTTCCACTCTGCTGAACCTTAAGGGTTTAAAGAGTCATCTCACTGACATTGTCCGGAACAGGTGTCAACCATCATTATGTCTGTTATCAGGAAGAAAATGACATAATCAGTATAAAATGAACTCCATGTGAATGTAACATATAATCCACATATTTAACAGTTTTAAAAGGCTTTTCTACTTGCAAGGTAAGTTTAATACTATGTGAATTATTTTCTGTGTTTTGTATTTAATCTCTCAGATCCTTAGTGAAAAAACCATTAGATGGTTTTTTTCCATTAAATGCCATAAGAAATTAGAAAACCAAAAGCAGGCTTTTCCAGTTATTAGTTATATTTTGGGAGGCAGAGTCATATTCCCTCACCCCTGCTCTAAGACATCCATTTATTTTTATCACTAGTTATCTTAAATTTACTCCCAGCTTCCATCCCTGTATCACTAGACCCCTTCAAAAAGATTCATGAGTAAGGTCAGTGCCACAGCCTTGCTGACCATTACACTGTTCAAAAAGGCATCTAAGGCTGTAGCTCAGTGACAGAGTGCTTGCCTAGCATGTGTGAATCACTAGGTTCCATCCTTAGCATTGCATTAAAAAAATAAATAAACAAAATAAAGGCATGCTGTCCATCCAAATCTACCAAAAAAAAAAAAAAAAAAAGGCATCCAATCTTCCCTAGTTCTACCTGTGAGAAATACAATGCTCCTCTGGGCTAGTCTTCAGCTTTCAATCATTGTCCAATGGCTGGATGGGAAAAAAATCTCAACGTCTACATTTCTAATTACAGGTAGAGGGTGGCCCATTCTCTCCTAGCAGAGCCTGTGGGGCTTTTACTTTTTAACAGAAAATTAACTGAAAAAAAAAATACAAAAAACGAGGGCTTAATAAAAACAGTGGCTGAGCCCCACAACTCTAGTATTAAGCAACCCTAACTTCAATTTCCAGCTCTGTCACCTACTGTGTGGAAATCTGCCATGTATAAAACTAATTTTTTAAACCCTGACTTTTTCAACCCTAAAATGGGGTTAAGGCTATCTAATTTTTTAAATGGTATTAACTTTCATTGTAAATTACAGCATATTAGCTAATCTTGAACACTAGCATATGACACACCAATTCAATATTTTCCTAAATATATCATTAAACTGAAATATTATAGATCCACAATTTAGTGAGAAAACAGAACTTCTCCCATGTGAATAAAGAATTTAAGAGGAAACCAAGTAAAGTTCTAAAATGGTACAAACCTCAAAAAGCCAATCGCTTTTGCCAATAAGCTCCGCCTCCGTGCAAACCCAACCCTTTTCCGGCTGCCCCACCCACCCTCTCACACTGGAGCCCCACCCCTCTCCTCGAGGTCCCGCCCCCCACACCTGATCCTGGTTCCCATTGGGCAATTCTGGACGTTGTATACACACTCGATACACGCACGTTTGGCCAGGGCGTCTTCGCGCCTGCGCAGCAGAGCGGTTAGGCAGCTGGACATTGGGGTCTGGGGGGAGGGGGGCGGAGGTCAGGCCGAATCTTCCTCCGTAATAAGAAGCGACGCGTCCTGCCTCCCGCGGTCCTGGCTCCGTGGGTCCGGTCGGATCAGGTCTGGGCGCTGGAGCTGCTGTGGCTCCCGCCGCGGCGGGTGCGATGGAGGCCGTGCCGGAGCCCAGCACTCACGCCGGGGGAGGCCGAGACAGCCCGCGGTGCTAGTAGATGAGGCGGCGGCGGCGGCAGCCCGGGCTCTCCATGAGCAAGCGGCGGCGACGACGGGTGCGGCGGCACCGGCGGTTTTCGGTCCCCGGGGAGGTACGAGGATTCAGTTTCCTAGTGGACAGAGACTGGCCGATGTGTGAATGCCTTCCGCGACCCGGCCTTCCCGCCCATTTGCTCGCAGTCCCAGGCTCTCGGCGGGGTCACTGCCCGGATGGAGGCAGGAGCGCCCAGCAGTCTCACTCGCTCCAGGTTCCGGGACTCGCCCTCGGTGCGGAGCCAGCCCTCCGTGCCAGGCCTCCAGGGAGCGCAGCCGGGTGGGCGTGGCCAGAGGAGAGAGCTGGAAAGGGGTGTCCGTAGCGCGCGCCGCAGGTCCCTGTCCCGCAGCGCTTCCAAGAGGAGCGCGTGCTCGTTCTTTCAGAGGAGTATTTCGGGGGCGCTTATTCGAGGGGGGACTCTAGGACTTCTGAATTATTTGGAGGTATGGCATTCAGTGCCTAGGGCAGGTAGTCTGATCCTTTCTGCCAACTTGGGATACAAATTGCCACTCTTGGGAATGACTGGAAAGAAAAGGTGGTGTTTTGCCAAGGAAATGGAGGTTAGGAGGGTTTTCCAGATTTATTCAACTGGAGGCCCTGTTGAGGCAGGAAAGTACGTCCTCCAGTGTTTCTAATACATTGCCTAACGGAACAACCTTTTCAACGATGTGGCAAAACTTAAGGCAATTTAAAGTAAAGTTGTCTGCAGCCATCTCTCCATCTGTTTTTTTTTTCTTTTCCCTATTTTTATTGCAGTCTACTTTTGAGCATATCACCAAATTAATGCTTAAACTAGGTTGAGTGTCCATTAGTTCTTCCAGTCTTCCCTTGCTAAAGTTAGGTTCATGCCATGTGTAGCACTGTGGTTTAATTTTCTCAGATTATAACTATTGCTTTGAAGAGCTACAGTTACCTTTGTTTGGTCATGTTTAAGAGATAATTTGCAAACATACTAGATTAAATCATCCTTTCCAATGCAGTATTAGGAATCTGAACTCAAGCTTATTAAGCAATCTTAAACCTGCTACAGGGTTCTTTAAAATTCAAGAGATATAGCTCAAATCATGAAAAAGTGTATTTTAATTTTTAAAATATTTAAATGTTATGGTTTTTAAAAATCTCTGAAAACGAAAGTTAGCTTCTATTAAGAAATGAGTGTGTTTTCCTAAAGTTTAGATTTGCCACACCCTCTTATTTCTAAGTGGTTGACCTCCGCCGCCATGTTAGCAGACTATATATAAACATTTACACTTCAAACTAAATATAGTGTTGAATATTTTAGAGTCCACAATATCTTGCTTCAGATGGAAAACACTGCATGTGTTTTATCTAATATATTGTAGAACCGAATTTTTAGTTGGCTAGTATTGTGAAATAGGTTTGAACTTAATTTTTTCACACAAAACCCACAGGTCTGCAGTATTATTGGGTATTGGGCTCATGTTGTGCTTGGGAAAATGAAACAGTTGAAAAGATAGTCAGTATAAGACACCGACTTCAGTCACTTCCTTCCCTGTTCTTATGCTTCGGATGCTTCCTTTTTTTCATAAAAATACACTTTTCTGTAAAAGTTAGAAAACCATATGTTTTCAGTTTATACATCTATTTGTCCCAAGTAAAATGAAGTAACTTTTTCCAATACTATTTTAATAGGAACTTCGAAAAAAAAATTTTGGCTTTATATAACATACTTAGGATACAAACATGTTTATCAAAATATAGTGTCAGTGGCTTTGAAAAGAAAGTATTTAGCTATCCTTAAGGTAAGGGGAAGTTAAATGCCAGAATTAGTCTTTGTCTATATCAACAGGTGCTATACACAGGTTTTTTAATACTGCAGATAAAATGTGTAGTATGACTAATATAAAGAACACTAAGTGGCTCTTATCCTATACCCCCAAACTAAGGATTCCACTATATCAGTTTCTTAAGGGGAACCACAAATATAAGGAAATGGAAGCACAGCTTCAATTTTAAAAGAAAGAGGAGGTTTACTTTAGGAATATGTCTAAACAAATTTAGTTTATTTTCATTTAGGATTTTTTTATTATAGGGTTTTCCTATACAGATAAAATCTGTAATATAATTAATATATATATATGCCTATCAGATGGCTATTCTGTACCTCAAAAAAAAAGTTCTGCCTTCTTAAATGGTCTTTATGGAGATCATAAATATTGCCCCTAAAACTGTACATGCATTTACATGTTCTGTTTTAAACTTTTCAAATGCAGGATGAAGACACTGTTTGAAGAGATCAAAGCATCAATTAAAAATAATTATAACCAAGATCGATCATTTTGGAGGCCTGTTCTTCCTTGGGGAGGTGTTTTTACTATCAAAGCTGGCCGCAAAGCAGTATCCTGTACACCACTCTATGTTGAAATAAGACTGAAAAATACCTGCACCATAGATGGATTCTTGATGTTATTATATGTCATTCTTAATGAAAATGAAAATTTTCCTAGGGAACTCTCTCTTCATTTTGGTAGAGAGTTTATAGACTGTTTTCTTTATTTAATGGACACCTACAGTTTTACAACTGTGAAGCTACTTTGGATTTGGGACAAAATGGAAAAACAGCAATACAAATCTGAAGTTCATAAAGCTTCATTAATAATTGATTTGTTTGGGAATGAGCATGATAACTTTACAAAAAATCTCGAAAATCTCATGTCTACCATTCAAGAGAGTTACTGTTCCAACTGGCGATGCCCGACTCGAGTACAGGAAGATCAGCAGCGCACAATTAATATAAAGTAAGTTGCTGTAATGTCTGTTTCATGGCTTTTGTTTTTAAATCAATATTATGTGTGTGTGTGTGTGTGTGTGTGTGTGTATGTGTAACCTTTCAATAGCAAACTAATGGATTAAAGGGCACTTTCCTGTTTTGGAATGTTTCACTTTTCAAATGGGTCTGTCAGAAAGGCTAGTTCCAGATGAACAAGAGAATTTTTTTTTTAATCTTATGTTAAGGCCAGGACATAATTATAGACAGAAAACCCAAATTTGGCATCTAATACCTGGGAAGGATGTGGATGTGAGGAGCTTTTATACAGACTGGGAAACGTGCTAGGAGCAGCACAGTGTTTTTGGCTTTCAGAGAGGGCAGACATCCAAGCTGGTAAATGACAGAGAGGGAGGCCAAACTGGCAAGCCCTAGTGGAATGCTGGGAAACATTAAATCCCCCAGGGAACATGAGCTGAAAAAGGACTAATTGCCCATGGAAGAGAAACAGACCCAAGCATGTTGTTGTCAGAAAGGATATTTGGCCCTGTGGTTCAGAAAAGCAGCCTTTGGGAATGTACATCACACACCCTAATTAATTAAGCTCACATTTTCTGAAATATACTTTGTCTTTTCCCTTTTATTGCTGATACAGTGATGCTGGTTTTAAAATGTATCAGAAGAAAAAAATGTTCTTACTTTACATCATAATGGGCTAAAAAGTGTTTCATAAATTTATCTTGTTTTTTAAAAACTAGTGGGTCTGGGGATGTAGCTCAGTTGGTAGAGTACTTGTCTCACATGGGCAGGGCTAGGTTAGATCCCTAGCACTGAAAAAGAAAAAAAAAATGGTTTTTAAAAACCAGTATTTTTTATCTGTAAATCTTGTAAAAATATAATGAAATGTAATTGTACAGTGATACTAATATTTTATACTTCTCTCAATAAAATATGTTCATCGTTATAAGCTGTTTAAGCTTCTATTTTTTAAAATCTCGCATTTAAAACAACTTTGAAGAATATAGGAAAAATTTTATTAACAGATCAGGTAACTGAGACCAAGAATGTTTGTGATTTGTATCTAGTCAGGTAAATTATCAGCTGCTCTCCTGACTCTGGGCCCTAGTTTTTACTCACTAGAGCATATTGCCTCTGATTTTAGGGGCGGGAGGACATTGTTTATTTGGTTTTGTTAATTAGAGTAGCAACAACTGAGTATTTCAAGACTGGTTTACAGAAAACTTTGTTTCTTAGAGAACTTTATGCATTATCTGGGAGTGGGATGGCACACACCTATAATGCCAGCAGCTCAGGAGGCTGAAGCAGGAAGATTGAGAGTTCAAAGCCAGCCTCAGCAAAAGCAAGGAGCTAAGCAATTCAGTGAGACCTCGAGTCTAAATAAAATACAAAATAGGGCTAGGGATGTGGCTCACTGGCTAAGCACAGTTCAATTCCTGGTAGGAAAGAAAAAAAAAAAAAAAAACCTTTATGCATGAATATTTATTGAGTTGAGTTCAACTGGTTTCTGCAAGAAATACAAAAATGGATAACAGATTGTGCTTGGTATACTTGGTTCTGCTAATAATGGATCAACCTGTAGAATTTGTTATCCTAATAATGTATTGGCCTATAAAATGTTGAAGCAGTTCTTACATGAATTTTACAATTATTATAGTCCTCCTCAAGAAATTCCACATGGAAACTTGATACGACTGGCTGTGGATGAGTTATTCTGTTCTAAGATTGAACTGTGTGAAGAGCGTGGGTGAGTATATGATAGACATTTAAGATGAAAGTTTTTCTATAGTTAAGATAACATTTTTCTGAAATATACTTTATCTGTTTCCCTATATTACTGATACAGTGATATCTATTTTGAAATATATCAGAGGAAAACCTTTCCTGGATTAATGTGCTGTTTGAAGTTAATATATGATGAAATAGCATCTCATAAGTATTTAGGAAGCCTAAACCTTTTTGAATCTTCTTAACAGACCTAGTTTACTATGCCATCTTATGTTGTGTTTTCATTATCAAATATCACTATGTAAAATATAGTACTACAGCTAATTGATGAATACAAAGCAAATGCCTTTTCTTTTTTTCCCCATTGCTGAGTAGGTACAATAAAACCTTGGTTAACCGGAACCCAGCTAATCGGGACCCTCAATTAACTGGATTTTTTTCTGCATTCCTCCTTTAGGATAAAGAGGTAAATGGCAACGAAAAAATTGAACTTAGTTAAAAAAAAAAAAAGTCCAGGGACAGAACCTACTCAACCCAGTCTCTTAGCAATTTCTATGTCTACATTATTGAACAATGAAAATTAGTATTTGGAAGAATTATTTTATTACTAATCACCAAAGAAGGGAAGATACAAATACATTCAGTAACTTGTTCCTATTAAGTCCAAAATGTGAACTAACATGTTTCAACACATAATTCTAAAACAAATGATTTTCTGGCTAACTTGGTGTAGTCACTAATGTTTGTTAACCAGACTCTCCCCCCCCCCCCAACATTCCGGTTAATCGAGATTTTACTGTATAATTATCTTTATTGTATTCTGATCCTTTTGCTTAAATACCTAATAATACTAAGAAAAGAGAACTTGTTTAATGCAATAGAAGATCTTAAATGGAAAAAGAAAGCAATTAGAGTCATTATTTGAAACCATATAAATAGAAAAATATATCTACAATAAAGACTTTTATAACAGTTCAGGAGACACAGTGCTTTTATAACCTTGGAAAGAAATGGCTCACTTTTCCAGGAGTTTCTTTTTTGTTTTTTTTAAACATATTTTTTAGTCATAGGTAAATACAATACCTTTATTTTATTTTATATGGTGCTGAGGATTGAACCTAATGCCTCACGCATGTTAGGGAAGCACTGTACCACTGAGCCACAACCCCAGCCCTCCAGGAGTTTTATTAGTATTACTCCTAGTGTAGAAAATGTAGCCAGTAAACTTCTAGGAATATATGAGGTAAAATATAACCATATCATTGCCCATACCTATAATAGATGATTATACTTTCTATAAAATTAAAGTCATAAAGACAACTCAGATAATAATGTTGATTCTCATTTTCCACTTTAGGTGTGGTGGCTTAAGAGAATTTTCCCAGCGAGTTTTCTGCCATGGCGCACCCCCTTTTGTTGTCTTAAATATGCAACATTGGAAATCTGAAGATCTGGCATATGTACCCTATTATTTGGATTTATCTGATCACAAGTAGGTGATTTGGTTTGCTTGCTTGACAAAAACAGTAAAAAATAAGTCTTTTTGTTTATTCTGGTCTTTTATGATTTTGACTAGCCATTAAAAAGATATTATTGGAGCCAGGTACAGTGGCCATGCCTATAATCCCAAGGTCTCAGGAGGCTGAGGCAGTAAGATCACAAGTTCAAGGCCAGCCTCAGCAACTTAAGTATACTCTGACTCAAAAAAAAAAAAGCTGGAGATGTATCTCAATGGTAAAGCTGCCCTGGGTTCAATGTCCAATACTAAAAAAATAAAAGAATCTACTATAGGGAGCTAGCCGATTACCTGTAATCCCAGTGAATCGGGAGGCTGAGACAGGATTGCAACTTCAAAACCAGCCTTGGCAACTTAGTGAGATATCCTGTCCCAAAATTTAAAAAAAGAAATTAAAAGGACTGGGGTTGTAGAACAGTAATAAAGGCCTCCTAGCTTCAATTCCCAGTTAAATAAAATAAATTTACAGGAAATTAGTCACTAGCAGTGGCCACAAGGATTAGAAACTTGGATTATGGAACAGGTGGGGATTGAACCCAAGGGTGCTCTAACACTGAATATCCTTAGCCCCTTTTTTAAATTTTATTTTGATACCAGGTCTCAATAAATTGCCAAGGTGGCCTAGAACTTTGGATCCTCCTCCTTCAGTTTCCTAAGTCCTGGAATTACAGGCCTGTACCACCATGCCAGGCCTACCCCATTTTTTTACAAGCTATATAAGCTTTGGCCAATTATTTAACCAGTGTACACGTAAGTTTTCTTATCTATAAAATAGAGATGACAGTGTTTTTCTGGTGCCATTATTGGAAGAATTTGATAAGGCAGCGTATGCTGTGTTTAGGGTAGTGCCTGACACTTAATAAGCACATAGTAAACCCTGGCTTTCTTTGGTATTTCAAGTCAAATTAGTGTTGAGTTGTATTCAGGAAGTCATCATTTAAACATAAATTGTTACTTCTTCTTATAAATAAAATCATCTGTATACAAATCAGGAAATAGAGGGTACTTATTAACTTTTGCCTTCAAAAGTTTTCTTGTGTGTTCTCTACTGTTTTAGTAGAACAGCACAGTTGTGAGTTAGTCTGTTTGTTAATTCTTAAATTATATCAAGGTTTTTAAATATTTTACTTGAAATCACCAATTATAGTACATGATTTATATGGATAGCTGCATGGGCTCTCTCTCGTCCAGCGAGGAGGTCCACGGAACAGGGTAGAAGAGAGCATGGCTGTGGAGTGGCTAATCAAGATCTTACGGAGACCAAGCAGGAAGCAGGTCTGATTTTATTTATTGTGCAGTTACCATGTATATCTACTCAGGCAGTAGCTAAGCAGATTACAGGCAATTTCTGCTAACCATCCTTGCATTGACCAATTGAGGAGTGGGCCATGGAGCAAGTGCAGGGACTGCAACACATGGCCTCAGGCCTATGGGGAAAGCACTTACACGCCTAGCACAAGGGGAGTGGCCTGCCACTCAGACGCCCTTAACATATGCCTTTTTAAAAACAATCTTGTTTTTATTTCCTAATTAAGAATTTAAGGAATATTTTTCTTAAAAACAAAGTATTATGATTTTCCACTATACTTTATTATTTAATTTACAGGTATTTGTTGGAAGGTGCCACATTATTTAATAAAGAAGAACACCATTATTCTGCAGCTTTCCAGATTGATGGACATTGGATGCACTATGATGGCCTCAGAAATGTGAATTTAATTTTGTTAAATAAACCCCCAGAGTTTCTCCTCTTGTCATCATTGGTTTATATTCGAGCAACAGAGAAATAAATATAGACTGATGCTAAATTAAATTGTTTTCCCGCCTGCCCATGCTCCCCTAGATGAAGGGCTTTTATTTTGTGTATACTTGGTATCCAAGGAAATAGTTCAACTATACTAGTTTCAGAGGTGTATTTTCCAGTGTTTAACCCAGGTAAATGTTTTATAATGAAGATCTATGCAAAAATGTTTGTATTTCTTTTTTATATTTCCTGGGTTATTTTTATACAATCATATTTTATGTTGAAATAAAATATATATCTTGTGGCCTTTGTATTTTTCATTTGTATGCATTTCAAAGGTTTTCATACTACTTAAATTCAAGAAAATGCTTTGTCATTTGAATTCTAAATTTTTCTTTTTAGTTATCCAAGTAAAAGCTGAGTAAAAGTCAGTATTTTAGTTTATACAATTCAAAAGTTTAAGATATATCTGACCATATTTCTTTGCCCTACCTCACTATAATTCAAAGTGCACTATTGGGTTTAGTTCTAATGTACAACTTACAGATAGCTTAGTTTATTTTATCCATTGCTTTGCATAATTTCCCTACAGCAATTTTAAAAAATTTTTTACATAAGAGTTTTTTTTTTTTCCTGGGCCTAAATTTTTTTATAATGGCAAATTACAGTTAACTACTTGCTAAAATATTCTAAATCTACCAATGGATCCAACCCTAATTAAAGTCATTATAAATAAATTATGTCATGATTAAATATAATAGAAATTCTCCAATAAAAATTATTTTGCAAATAAGACAATTATAAAAACTATTATGTAACTGGATGTTTACTAGTGTTGGACTAACAATAGATATGTACTGTAAATATATATTTAAAAGGAAAATGGGTACCTGGGGAATATTTATTCTTTTTTTTTTTTTTTTTGGCAGTGTTGGGGACTGAACCCAGGCCTCTCATGCTAAGCAAGTGCTACATCCCAGCCTGTAGTTGTTTTCCTAGTTATGTTTTATATTGGCACAGAAAAAAAAAAAAACTTTATTTTTTTTTTTAAAGAGAGAGAGAGAATGAGAGAATTTTCATATTTATTTTTTAGTTTTCGGCGGATACAACATCTTTGTTTTGTATGTGGTGCTGAGGATCGAACCCAGGCCGCACGCATGCCAGGCGAGCGCGCTACTGCTTGAGCCACATCCCCAGCCCCAAAACTTTAATTTTTAAAGCCATATCTGTTGGCTCCCTTGTAAATAATAATTGATAGCATGAGGTTTTGATTTGCAGTATAAATCATTAAAATTCTATAGTTAACTGAATATCATGTTTCATTGAAAGAATACTGATTGTTCTTCCTGTTGTAATTTAAGGCAAAAAAGCAAAGTCAAAAAAAATATTTTTTGAAAATCATCACCATAATTATAATGTTTACACTTCAGTAAATAGTCTGCTTTAGGTTTTGGGTTGAGATTAGGTGCAATTTATTCAAAGACTTTTATATGATAGCAGTTCACTGCCATATACCAAATTGCTAAAGTTTCATTCAATAAACATTGCCTTGGTGCCAAGTTGAGATAACTTATGAATGGATAAATATGGGTGGAAAGTTGCTGAGAATGCCTCACTTTGAATACTATAAAAATTGCTTTTTTAACATAAGATTAAAAAATGATTCATTTTACCAAAAAAATTTACCCCAGGTTTAAACAGTCCCCCAAGTGTTATAAGATTTGATTTACAGTAAACTTACCTGGTAACACATTATTGCATGAATCAAAATATACATAAGCAAATATTAGACTATATATAAATGGTATAATTACAAATTATTAATGACAATTATTTCTAATGTAGATTTATTCTTTTAGGAATTGCACTTTATTTAGAATATTTCTTTATTATAAAACAATGACTTGCCTACCTCACAGGGTTGTTGTGAGGATTAAAATGTTTGTTAAAATCTTGACTACCTTGAACATGCTAATAAAAAACATGTCTTTTTCTACCTCTTTCATGTAGAGGAAGTCTCCCAGGTTCTCTCATTAACTTTTTAATTTAAGAGTTTTAATAAATATTTAGGCAGTAGCTCATATCACTGGTGCATTTAATGTGGAATGGGAATTAAATATATCTTTTTGACCCTAGATGGTTGGGATTTAAGGAGAATCAGGTAGTTTATTGTTAATGGTAGGATCTGGTTGGTAGAAAAGAAATTATCCCTCCTGACCAAACAGTAAATGGAAAAGGGGTCAAAAAGAATGAACAGTATGGGCAGCTTAAACTAGTCTGTTTACAAAATGTGAAGGTGAAGGTATAAAACATTTTTATAACTCTAAAACACCTTAGAAAAATCAGAATAATCCCTTGGAAAAAGAGAGCAAAAGATATGAATAATCAACATATGCTTTTAATCAAAATACCACAAACTGCTACTATATTTATGGGAAAGTAAAAATAATTTTAAAATCTTGGCCACTACCACGTATCATGACACACACACCTGTAATCTAGCTATACGTAAGGCTGAGGCAGGAGGATCACAAAGGTCAAACAAAGCAATTTTAGTAAGACCTTGTCTCAAAATCTAAAGAAAGAATTGGAAATGTAGCTCATTGGTAAAGTGTCTCTGTGTGCAATCCCCAGTACAAAGAAAAAAGCAAACAAGAAGAACCTTGGCCAAACTTGGGATAAAGAATAAGTAAAACAAATTTAAGAAGGAATCACCCAACTTGTTTCTCTTCAGCAAAGAAACTTTTCTCTCCAACTCATGCAAATACTCTTACTTATATTTATCCTTGAAAGTAGCATTTTGCCATAAATTACTTCATTTGTTTTGTATCTGAAGTACTATGATTAGTTTTGATACAATGAATAACAAAGAGAAACTAGTGATAACACTGGTGAAGGCATAAGAGGGTATCCCATACTCTCTTTCTTATATTATGAGCAAGTTATATAAGCAGATAATTTGTGGCACAAAAGCTGTACATGTTAAGTATACGAACCATTTATAACTCAGTTGCTTAATGACATAACTATTTCAAAGAAAAACTGTAAGGCACTATAAGTAGGCAGAAAGAGTAAGGAGTTCATGTAAAATGACCACTAAGCTTAGCCATAGTGAAGAATTCAGTTTTGCTGGCTGCGAGTTGATACCAGCAGACATTCCTCTGCTATGATCAGCTGCTAACTCTAGAACAGACTTTCTCAGCTGCAGATTCCAGCAACTTATGCAGATCCTACCCACTGGCAAAAGTGGAAAAAGTGTTTTCATCTCAAACTCCAGTTTTAATAGTATCCAAGATGCCAGAGTTTGAATTTAGATGGATAGTAAAACAGGCAGTTAAGGACACACCACCTACCCCTAAGAAACTTGTTTAATTATAAAGGCCAGTCCATAGGACTGCGATTGGGGCTCAGCAGTAGAGCACTTGCCTAGCACATGCAAGGCGTTGGGTTCAATCCTCAGTACCAATAAAAATAAATACATAAAGGCCAGTCCATGAGATTAACCTTAGAGAAGCATTCCAAACATTTCAACTTCTTTCAACTTCGTTGTCCAGAAGTGGTGGAAAAAGGGAAGTGAACCAAACTTGAATGAAGGCTTCAACTTTAAAGTTTATTATAGCTAAAGTAATACACATAGTTAATAATCTCATTCTTTTCCTGTTTCTGACAGAAGAAGTGAGAATCACTTGGGATAGACAACCTTTAACAGGTGAAAGAGGTGTCAGCTGGACTCATGGAGAAACAGTTGTATTACCAATTCTTGCAGTATTTTTTATGAACACTAGGTGGCAGACGCTCCTTGCTGTAGCAAGTGAGGGACCCAGAAAGAGAACCACACCTGAATAGTTTGGCCATTCCAGTCTATCATCTGAGTGAAACTGTTCTGTTCAGTGCCATCTGTTCTGTTCAGTGCCACTACACACACCCATAACTGGGGGGAAACACACAGTCGTGATGCCTTTGATAAAGTTGATGGTGTTCTCTCTGCCAACAATTCCCCAGCTGAAATATTTGTAAAGTGACTCCTGGGGTTTCTTCACCCATTTCCTCCCAACTCTCATGGTTTCAAAAGCCCTGCCCTCTTTCTTCTCCTCTTCTTTTGAGAAACCTTAGAAATTCCTGTCTTTGGTGAGCTTTAGGAAATCACCTGATTCAGGTTTAACCTTTTCCACCTAGGAAAAAGATTTGGAATTGCAAACTTTCTCAGTGAATCCTGATATGTGATTGTGTAGCCACTGGATTACCTCAGTTTTTGTCAATTCTTGATTACTGCTTTCATGCTGTTAAGGAAAAGCAAGAATATGGCAGTGAAATGACTGGACACTTAAGACAGATTTGGAGGTTCAAGTCCAGGCTCAGTCACTGGGTGTGTGATCTTGGGCCTATTATGTAACCTCTCTGTTCTTCAGTGTAAAATAGAGATAAGAATAGAATATATGTCATAAGGTTGTGATGAAAATTTAATGATTATGTATAGCAATTAGTACCTGATCCATAATAAGCAACAAGAAAATATTGGCCATCATTATTGATTTCTCCAACAGTTTATCAAGAAATTAAATTAGTAGCTAAGTAGTACTGCTGCAGAAAATGAACTAAATTCTATGCAAGTATTTCAAATTCAATGGCTGAAAATTACTGCTGATATTTCTGTAGCAATTAAGCTCACAAAACAAATTATTTAAAAATAGAAAATAGTAAATACATGAATGAGTTTAAAGCAGCAAAAACAAAGCAAAAGAAAAATGTAAAAGTGAATGGCTTAGTTTCTTTAAATAGCAAATGATCATGAAATAGCCCATCTTACTCCTGCTGGAACTCATTTGTCCACCAGATACTGTTCTATGCTCCTGCTATAGTCTGAGTGGTTAAGTCTTCCTGCCTCCAAATTCATAGCTGGAATTTTTGCACCCAAGGTGATGGCATTAGGAGGTGGGCTTTTTTAAGGTGATTAGTCCATGAGAACACTCCCCCCATGAGATTAATGTCCTTATCAAAGAGATCCAAGCCAGGTGAGATGATGTGTGCCTGTAATCCCAGCAAACTGGGAGTCTGAGACGGTAGGATTATAAATTTGTGGCTGGCCTCAGCAGTTGAGGGAGACTCTCAACAATTTAGCAAGACTCTGTCTGAAATAAATAAAAGGGCTGGGGATGTAGCTCAGGGTAGATTGCCTCTGGGTCTGGGTTCAATCCCCAGTACCCCCCGCCACACACACACACACACACACACACACACACGTGGAGGGGTACAGGAACAGAGAGCATGCAACTCAAAGAGATCCCACATCACTTCCACCATGTTGAAGACATAGAAAAAGTTTCCGTCCGTGGGCCAGAAAAAAGAGTCCTTACATCAAATCTGTCCTACCTTGGACTTACCAGCCTCCAGAACTGTGATGAATAAATGTATGCTGCTTACAAGCCACCCAGGTTATATGGTATTTTGTTAGAGCACTCTGAAGAGACTAAGACACCACCATGAATACAGATCTAGATGTAGATAATTTCAAAATCTGGCTCTAAAACTTTTTGAGACACATTTCTCTGATCAGTGGAAAATGCCTATTCTATTAAGTTATAGGACCCCTGCCTATTTAAATTTTTCCTTCCACGTATCCATACTGGTGATTGAACCCTGGGCATTCTACCATGAAGGTAAATCCTCAGCCCCCAGCCCTACCTCATCTCTCCCTCCTTCGCTTTTAAATTTTGAGACAAATTCTGTCTAAATTGCCCAGGCTGGCCATAAACTTGCTATCCTTCTGCCTCAGTTTCCCAAATTGCTGAGGACAGGCTGGACTCCAAGCCCCATTTTTGTATAATTCTTAACTCTCCTCAGGGCACACAAAGGTATATTTTCCAACAGTTAATTCCTGATCAATAACACAAAAGGGATTGACTGGTTACTCCTTGTTTTATTCTGCCTCATTCAATAGGAGATATAAATCAGTTTTTAATATAGATTAAAACATAAGGATTTTTCATATCTTTAATTGTACTTAAGGTTAGACATAATATAAGCCAAAAAGAACCTAAGGCCAAGGGTAACATTTTAATGGACCAGATCTGGCAAAATTATCGTGTACCCTGACCTAGCAACTACACTTATAAAAATCTAACCTAAAAACACAAAATGGTAAATGTACAAGGCTATTAACTGCAGCATTACTTGTAAAATAAAAAATGTGACAACAATCAAAATGTGTGTTAGCCAACTAGTTACAAGCCCCTGGTATATCTACACAGTAAAGTACTATGCAATTGAGAAAAAAAGAATGATTTAAGTATAATGGCATGGAATAATCTCAGAAAAAAAGAAAAGTCAAAAACCAGTGTTCTTATAGAATGATCTTTTTTTGTAAGGGAAATGGGAAAAGAAGTATGCTTGTATTTTTTAAGAAAAAATGGAGCCATCATCTAATAAAATAATTACTTACAGAGGAATAAATTAAAGAATGAAAGAGAAGGGAATGCATGCAAAATTTATTTGAATGCACTTATTATATAATTTCTGTTCCAGAGTCAAATGAATATTTAATAAAATTTAAAAACTAAATTAAAAAAGTATGTCCCTAAAGACTAAAACGTGAATTTAAATAACTTGGGCCAGGGATGTAGCTCAGTGATACAGTACTTGCCTCACATGCACAAGACCCTGGGCTGGATCTCCAGCACCACAGATCATCATCATCATCATCATCATCATCATCATCATCATCATCATCTACATCAATTGTTACTAATGGAATAAAAAAAATTCCACTTGACTCTAAAACCTATGTTCTTATTGTATATCCTTATGAAATATAATGACAAAAGGATCATAAAACAATGTATTCATTTGTCTTATTATTTATAGATTTATCAGTTTTGTTATTTTGAAACTATTATGTCATAAAATAACACAGATTTTCAGACTAAGAAAATATATATTTTTATCAAAAATTTTAAGTAAAAGCCCCTTTCCTCTCTCTTAAAAAGAAGGCATTTCCTGCCTTTCCCTTCTG